AACACTTAAGGAAAAAGAAACATCAGAATATTATAGAAGCTGGGAATGCTGGTATGACTGGATAGAGCAAAAATAGAAAATATATTAATAAACAACGTAAAATGTAAAAGAGGTAGTAATTATATATTCGCAATAAGATGTATTTGTAAATTTATCACCAATATTGATAACAAACAAGGAACCATAGACTGTCAACAGTAGAATTGTTAGTTTTTAATCATTTTCTTTTTCCCTGTTTTTTTTTCTTCTGTGTGTTGTGTATGTGTTTGTTTGATATTTTAGTTTTATAATCAATAAAGTTTGTTTAAAAATATATATATAAAAATTTTATTTCAGTTTTTACAAAACATAATACAAGTAAAATTTCTTTTTTGAAGAATAGCATTGTCCCGGGTTATCACTTCTCCATACAGACACAAATTCAATTTCATATTCATCTTTGTGTTCTGTTCCATATCTTATTATTATTTTAACATTTTCTCAATAATTTTTCCCTTCCCTTAGTTTTCTCAACCTTGTTTTTAATTATCTCATTCCTATCTAAATTCAATTTTATATATATATATATATATCTTTTTCTAAGTTTCAATATCTTTCTAGTCATTATATTTATACTTTTGTCTGTCCTATTTCAATTCCATATTTTCTTTTCTCATTAAACAAAATTTTTCCCTGTAGTTACTAATTGGAGTATGACACCTTTGTATCTTTTAATTTTTATCCATTCAATTCTTATTTAAACTTCAATTTATGCCTTTACAATTATAACATTCAATCTAACACATAACTTCCAGTCGAATTCTGCTTGGTACATTCTTAAAATACGCACTAAGTTCTTAAAGAGAAAATATATATAACAATAATAAATAAAATACTTATTCTATTCCAGTTCAGCTTTATCATTAATGTTAGTTATAATCTTTGACATCTTTAACATTTCTTTTCAATAAGGTATCATACTTCTAGGAACGCTTATAATATTTCCATAATTTTTTTCATATTTCATATTCCTCTTCACTTAAATTTTTATAACACATTTATAATAATTAAAATGTTCCCCTCCTTTCCTAATGTCATTCTCTCATTCTCTTTATTTCATTTATTTATTAAACATTCCACTACATTACAATGAGTATTTTATCTATTATTTAAATCACACTTGTTTCATGTTTTCAAAGTTCATTTCTATTTCTAATATAACAATGCTATCTTATGTACCCTTGCAGAACCCCCCTTTTAATTAAGTTTTCACCCATTATCTCTGTGTCTTCTAAATAGGCTTATACTGTTAATCCTTGTACGTTTTCCCTGTTTCTCTATGTCCTGTTTCTGTCCTTTATAATTTCTATTCCTTTCCCTCTTCCCCCTCTTCTTCTCCCTTCCCTTTTTGACCCCTTCTCTCTTTAATTCTGATTCTCTCTTGTGTAATCCTCTCTTCTGCTTCTTCCTAATGTTGTAATTACTTTTCAAATTATTCTTTTTTGGGGTTGTTTTTTCAAATCTTAAATTTTTCACTCTCTTTCCCCCCTTTCCTTTCTTTTCCCCACATAGAAATATTTGGTCATTGAAGATGGCTTCTTCTTTGTCTCGACCTTCTTGTTCTACAGGCATTTCTTGTTGTTTCTCATAGTTCAGGATCTCCATTTCT